ATATCGGTTTGCAAGTTTCTCGGACATCTCTTACTCTCTCGAATTATCTTAGCGATAGCTTCAACCGTCTCGCTCCCACCCTTAATCTTGAGCGGTATGGCCCACGCATGCCTGTTCAACACATCGATGACGGTGAGTATGTAGTGGTAGCCTCTGTTGAAACGTGAGTATGCGCGCACATCGACGATGTCAGCTTGCCACAGGTCGTCGTAACCTCGAACTATAACGTGTCTTCGAGGGAAATTTTTTCTTGCTGGAGCATGTAGTTCTTTGACAAGTTACCGTTTCTCGGAACTGACCTTTTTTTTACACCCATTGGATTTTAACGATCTCATATTTCTATGGTATGATTTTCGACTGATCAGTATGAGGAAATTACAACATCATTTATGTTTTAAATTGGTTTTAACCGGTTGTAGCTGTATGCAGTCGATACGGAGCCGTTCCTGAGCAGTTCCTGATCTGTTTGCAGCCGATATAGAATTGTTGTCGAGCAGTTTATTTCCAAGAGCTGTCATTCAACAGCAGTTTTGTGTCGTCCGTTTGTCGACCACTATTGCTCACCAGTTTTTGACAGCTGTTTTTGACTTGTTCGCAACCGTTTCTGATCTGCTCATAGCTCTTTTTCACTCCGTGCATAGCCGTATGGCAGCTGTCCGACACCCGTTCTTGAACCGTTCGTCGTTGTTTATTGTCATCCCATAGCCGTTCATAGCCATCCTTGCGATTCATCGTCGTCCAATAGTCGTTTTCTAACCCCTTTGATTGCTATTCGTTAACCGGTTTTTTAATCTAGCGATATGAAGCTCGATTATCACAATGCGCAGCGTTTACACATCTTTCTCCAACGCAATCACCTTCTCATCTGACTCTTTTTGTTGATTTCTCAACGTTTTTAAGTTTATGATACTCGAGTTAATTTACAATAAAACCGGCTTCACGAAGCTCCTCGATGATAGACAGCATCTCGTTGTCATGCGCGTTGTGACCAGCTCGGTACGAAGCTTCGAGCAATCGTAAGCGATCGACTAACTCATTGGGATCGTCCCAATGCACGTAATCGATCGCATTGTCGTTTAGCGTCATAGTGTTAGGTAATCCTTTTCCAGATTTCATTCTAGACCGCGTCTGTACTCCTTCGTTCGGCAGTAGCGCGATTACATGTTTGTACTTGTATCCTCTGGTACCCAATATCTGACCATGCGCGCTATAATTGCGTCTATACGCATTTGTCGCCAGCAGTATGCTCCTGTACTTTTGCAGATCGTCTTCCGTGTATACTTCATCATCTGGAATTCTCTTGAAAATTAGTTCGTAGAGACCGAGTGTGCCTTTGTATCGCACGCCATAGACAAGTATGTTATCATCGATGTCCACTTCGAAGTATTTATCACCAAGCAACAGTTTATCCTTGCCAACATGAACACCGTACACGAAATCTATATCATTCTTTACACCACTCTTTTGGGAAGATGAGCCGCGTAAGAAAGCCTTGATATATTTTTTACTCAGCTGACCCAGGTGCTGCAATGCTTTTTGACCCGTTTCCGTTTGTATCTCGCGTTCAGCGAATACAGCGAGCGGTTCGCCCGTGTTTTCGAAAACATCTTCGAGTTCGAAAGGTTTGTCGGTCGGTGTCGCCGCCGCCGCCGCCGCCGCCGCCGCCGCCGCCGCCGCTTCCATTGCTGGATGTATAGCACGTGGCGTAGATGTTATCAACGGTGCTCCCGGTGTAGACACTGCATCGTATAATTTATACTGTTCTGATTCGA